TCCCCTCCTGTAAGGTTGATTCTTTTCCATCCGAGTGTTTCCCTTTTTCCTTCCTGTCATTCCGTCTATCAAAATTTAGCCCTTGATATTTGGATAAAAAAAAAACGAAGGCAAAAAAAAAAAAAATAAATAATAAATAAATAAATAGAACAAAGAAAAAGAAACAAGCATTTGACATACACAAAGTGGGAAAAAGAAAAACCAAAAAGAAATAAAAGAAAAGAAACAGAATACTACAACAACAATACCGAAGAGTGAAGAAAGAACCAACTTTTGTTGTTCTACTACTGAGGTTGCACTTTGGCTGGTGCCGTTGGCCTTTTGTACACACCCCAAGGTTGCATACCTTTTTTTTTACACTTTGGCGTGACAGGCGTCGAGTTCAAGGCCCAAAAACGCTTAGCTCACGACCACTCGACCGCCTCCCCTCTTTTTTCCTCCCCCTAAAAACTCCCTTGAGTCCGACTACGTCACAACTTCTCATTTCCCTTCCCTTCACAGTTACTCTGGGATTCTGTGCAGAATAACGGACGGACATCAACAAATTGCCTTGAATAAGTCTTCAAGAGCATTGCCTGCGTTCTGATCTATATTATCTTATTCTCCTTACTTATTGTTGTGAAGAGTTACTCCGTCTTTTTGCCACCAGTCTTCACTCGATTCTTTTTTTTTCTTTCCTTTTTTTTTTTTCTTTCTCTCTTCTTTCCGGCTTTAGGTTCTCTTGACTCGCGCGGCTCCTTCGCTTGTCTAATATAACCGTGACCTCCAGCTGAACTATGTCTGCAGCTGTTGCATCAACAGTTACAGACACCTTAACCCATCGCGCTGATACAATTAATACATCCCCAATGGACGCGAAAAAGAACGCCTTGGAAACTGAAGGTTAGTATACATCCTTCTAGTTTGAGCTTCTTTGTGTGTGCGTGCACATGACCTCTTTTTTTTGGCCCTTTTTTTTTTTTTTTTTTTTTTTTTTTTTTTTTTTTTTTTTTTTTTTTTTTTTTTTTTCATGGGTACTTTGCTTCCTTATATCGTGAAGTTGTCAGTTGCAAAAGAGTTTTCGCGACATTTGCATCTTCTATTAAGCCTTGACCGATTCTGGCTTGGTAGTACGCCACTACTCCCCAGATGTTCTGTTATATGTTCCAGCCGTCGGGATGACCTCACACCTGGCGTCATCGATGGGGCTCTGTTATCAGATCACTTACTGTCATTACCCTAACCACCATAACGCGACGGAGATGCTATCTCGTTGTCGCTGTCACCCTTCGCTACCCGATTTATCCCAGATACACCTTGCTGTCGCGTTTAAGTCGCGTCGCTCTGTATTACTTGCCCGCTGACTGGATTTGTTATTGCTTCACAGACTCCCAGGCGCCGTCTTCAGAGATCAAGAATATAAAGTCCGACGTAGATCCCCAGACCTCACTGGCGCCTCCTCCGCGGCCGGCTATAACATCAGCTGCGGATACCCCAGATTACTTTAACTCTGTGCATAATCCCTTTTCATTGGAACCGAATCCCTTTGAGCAATCCTTTGGTGGTGGCACTAGTGGTGGCTCCTCTGGCGAGACACCCGGGAAGTCGATCCTTCCTCCAGTCGCTTCGCTCACGTCTCCTGCCCTACCTGGTACTAGCTCGGCCGGAGGCGGTTATAGCTGGTCCAACTCGTTGCGCTCTGGGCCCTTGAGCCCGGCCATGCTCGCTGGTCCGACTGGCTCAAGCGATTATTTCGACAGCATTGGCAGAGGCTTCCCTACCCCGAACGAGTCCTCTCTGCGCACCGGGTTGACTCCTGGTGGTGGAGGTTCCATGTTCCCGGCACCTAGCCCGAACTCGCAGGCGCTCCTGCAGCAACTGCAAAGTGGGGGTGCAACTCCCTCAACTATTGAGTTTCATCGTACAGCGTTGAACGCTGCCAAGAAAAACGCTCTCAATGGCCCAACTTCTAACCCGACATCTGATCCTGAACAAGCAGCACAGAACACGAACATGGATATCAAACCCAACCAGCCGGATCCTTTCGGCCATCATGATGCTGCCGATGCCGCGAATGGGCTGTTTATGCTAGCCAAGGGCGGACAAGCAAACCCTAATCAATTTGCTGTTTCCAACCAGACGTCAATACCACCACAGAACATTCAAAACAACGATCAAGCTCGCGATTCTGACCGGCGAACTTCTAACGGTGGCAGAGAGACAAGTGGCGACGTATCTGACGTGCAAGGTGAACAGGCAAAGCCTGCCACGAAAGGAAAGAAAAAGAATATTGCTACTAAGACCGGCGGGGCAGCGAACAATCGGCGTAAAGCAGATGATGCTCCAGCTAAAGGGTCAAACAAGAAAGCCAAGCTCAGCTCTGGTAGCACCGAGCCTCCTTCTGATGCCGGTGATTCAGAAGAAGAGGAAGAGCAGAAGAAGAAGTCACAGACGGACAGCAAGAAGATGACGGATGAAGAGAAGAGGAAGAATTTCCTCGAGAGAAATCGGTGAGTTTTACACTATTTGTGGCGCCGAGTACATTCTCTAATATGGTATCGGTAGGGTCGCTGCACTGAAATGTCGCCAGAGGAAGAAACAGTGGCTTGCCAACTTGCAAGCGAAAGTTGAGCTCTTCACTTCAGAAAATGATGCGCTTACTGCTACCGTCACTCAGTTGCGTGAAGAGATCGTCAACCTCAAAACACTCCTGCTAGCACATAAGGACTGCCCGGTTTCCCAGGCCCAAGGTCTCGGGCCCTTGATGATGAACGGCATGTCGGCAGGATTTGACCCTCATCCGTACAACATCCCTAACAACATGGGAATGCAACCAGGCGCACCTATCCCTGCACAGGGAATCCGAAGACAATGATTTTAATCTCTAGACTGCGATCTTAATATCCTCCGATCTTAGTCTAATCGCGTTGCTACGACTTACAACGTTTCTTTGCTTTGCACCACTGGATGCAGGGCCATTTCTGTCTAGAGCCCAGACCATTCCCATGGGTTCATATCACGTTTCAGTTTCATTTGGCTCCCGTTCTTAACGTGGGCCTCTGGGCATGGGTAGGTGTTAATGATGTATACGAATTCAAAAATTGGACTGGCTGAATCTGATGGTGCGATACGGGATTTTATTGAATCTCTGGAGGGTGCAAACTTGGCGCAAAAGCTTCTTTTGGCTGTGTTACTCTATTATTTCCTTGTCTTTCTTCCTTATTCCTTTACACTTCTCCCCTGTCTTTTTCTACACTACATCTTGAAACCCGAGTCCATGAGTTGAGGGGCTGGGGTTTGTGTGTTGCTTATTTGCGTCTTCTGGGTCTCTTTTGCCTCCCTTGATCTTGGGACCTCAATTCGGCTGTCTGATATTCGAAAGACACGGGATCATGTGTCTTTCCCCTTCTTCTTTCCTTTCTCGAGATACAGCGTTAATTGGGCGGCGTTCTGGGGGCTGTTTGCTTTTCCCGTTCAGTGTTGCGACAGCGACTAGCATGTCAGATGGTCCTAGTTTTGACAATTCAAACATGCTGAGATTGAATCAATTCAATCTTTAATGATTTGTCATACGTAGTTTTATAGTTTCGTAGTTATAGTAGGTAACTAGGAGTAGCCGTGATGCCCTTCTCCAAATTACTTCCACTAGATGCCCGATGCCGACTGAGAGCTTGGCGGTCACGGGCGGGTTCAAACAGCTCAAACTAGGCAGACCAACAACAACAACAACAACCACCACCACCACCGCACGCTCTTTGCGATAGCTTTCGAACATTTGGCCGATTATATGCGATTTGGGGCAGGAAGCCATGCGCTGTTTTACTCCGCCGCATTGAATTCGACTGCGTTTGCTTGCTCGACATCCCACATTTCTATACACCCACTGGTGATCCTCGACGTCACGAGGGGTCGTGAACAAAACTAGCTTGGGAAGGCACTCGGAAAGCTGGTTTGCTAATTATGTCAGCTCGTCACTCTACGCGCCCACGTCGCATTGAGGACGCCCTCTCGCAGCTCGTTGACAATCTCACTCATCGATTCTCTTATGCCGCTACGGAAGACGAGCTCCCCGACGAAGAATACGAGGCTCTCGCAGTGCGACAACAGGAGAACCTCGAACACTCATGGCGAATACTCGATGCTTATTCCAATTCAAACAATGATCCAACATCGCCAAATGGTGGGTCAGGGCTGGGGATTACTCGTAGAGGAAGCATAGCAGGTGGAGAGAATATCAACAACGCGTCGGATCTGATCAAGCGGAAGCTGCTACGTGAAAATGCGAGCCCAGATAAAGCGATGCGCTTCTCCAATTTATACTCGCGCCTTCTAACCCAGCCTGTCCTATCGCAAAAGTGGGCCATATTATACCTTCTTTATCGGCTGTCGAGCTCGGACGACTACGACGAAAGCTTCGAGGAGGAAGGAGGTAGTCGGAGTCCAGCCGTCGAACCAGGTAATTTGCAGAACTTGTCATGGAAGGGACAGCGAGCAAGACAGGGAATGGGGCCGATGTCAGATGAGGAAGGCCCGGCTATCAGTTCATCAGCATCGCAATTACCTGCGCGCCTCGAACGGAAAGCTTCTCAGCGACGACCTGAACGGGATATACGGGACATGGGAGAAGATGAAGAATTGGAGATGGTTCGAGAGCACCAGAGGCATCGCGCAATGTCAGACGCTGCAGCACGGGACACCCAGACGGAGGAACAGAGAACCGCTCAGCCCCAGCCAGCTCCAGACAATCAACAGACATTAGCTCGACCAGCCGAGAATGGGCTTTTGCGCGACCTTCCCTTCATCCTGCAGGGCTTATCGTCATCGAACCTCGAATTTACGTCCTCTACCCTCAAACTACCGCCGACACTACCTATTCCCTTAATATCTCTTCTAAACACTTTGGCCGAGCCGGGCCTGCTATATAAAGGGTTGTCGGCTTTTGTTGAAAGCTCCAGTGGGGGGTTATTGAACCAGAGTTTGCGAGCAGCTCTCTCAAATGAGCTCCGTTCGTATCTAGGATTAGTTGCGACACTGGAAGGGGAGATTCGAAGGGCGCTGGCTGCTCCTGGAGCTTCTACTTCTCCTGCTAGCGTAGCCAAAACCGGGGTTACACTGAAAAGATGTATAGTATGGACAAGAGATGCGACAATGGCGCTGAGATTGATGAGCGTGATTGTCGAAGAAGCTCAGAGTAAGTGATCAGCTATGCCTGGGCATTCCATTAACTAACGACATTTTAGACAAGAAGGGTGGCCAACTTATATCAATGATACATGGCTTCTCCACTTCCCATGGCGATCCTTTCGTATGTGCACTAGCCGAGAAACTGCTCGCACATGTTACGCGCCCGTTCTATGATATGCTACGCTTATGGATTTATGATGGCGAGCTTTCAGATCCATACCAAGAGTTTTTTGTAGTAGAGCCGGAGATTAGTTCAAGTGCTGATCCCCGGCGCATCGCGACAAGCGTTTGGGAAGACAAGTATAAGCTTGACGACGATTTGGTGCCATCCATCATCACGCAGGATTTTGCCAAGAAAGTATTTCTGATCGGAAAATCCTTGAATTTCATCAGGTACGGCTGCGGGGACTCGGGATGGGTAGAAGCCTATTCAAAGGAGAGTTCGAAAGAGCTGCGGTACGGCGACACAGCAAGTTTAGAGACATCCATCGATGAGGCATATAAATCCACAATGGCGCGGCTAATTTATCTTATGGATGAAAAGTTCAAGCTCTTCGATCATCTTCGGGCGTTGAAGAAATACTTGTTACTGGGACAGGGTGATTTCATCGCCCTCTTGATGGAATCACTGGCTTCAAACCTAGACCGTCCTGCTAATTCACAGTACAGGCATACGCTCACGGCTCAGTTGGAGCATGCCATTCGTGCTTCGAATGCTCAATATGACTCGTCAGATGTCCTTCGCCGTCTAGATGCCCGGATGCTCGAGCTCAGTCACGGTGAGATTGGCTGGGACTGTTTCACACTCGAATATAAGATAGATGCGCCAGTTGATGTAGTCATTACACCCTGGGGCTCTACTCAATATTTGAAAGTCTTCAATTTCCTATGGCGCGTGAAGCGGGTCGAGTTTGCCCTGGGTAGTACCTGGCGACGATGTATGACCGGTGCCAGAGGCGTACTGAGAAGTGTCGACGATAAAGTAGGGCCTGATTGGAAAGGGGCAAGATGCGCCATTGCTGAAATGATACACTTTGTCTGCCAATTACAATATTATATCCTGTTCGAAGTCATTGAGGCCAGTTGGGATCAGTTGCAAGCATCTATCTCCAAGCCAGGATGTACACTGGATGATCTGATCGAAGCACACACCAACTACCTCGATTCGATTACTCACAAGGGCCTACTAGGTTCCTCCTCTTCATCCAAGAGCTCGTCCTCAAACAAGCATCAAGAAGAGAGCTTCTTGACTCAACTACACCAGATATTGAAGATCATGCTTGCATATAAAGATGCTGTCGATGGGTTATACTCTTTCTCTGTTGCGGAGTTCACTCGAAGGCAAGAACTCAGTGCCAAAATCGAAACGCGAACCGCACAAGGCCGATGGGGCGTTACAGAACGCGATCTTCTCTCATCCCGGCGCACTCGTGGACACCAAAACTCGGTGTCATCGATATCCACGCCGAATGTTGGGAACCCTGCCGATGATATAGGTACGCCGTCGTCCCTCATTGGCCAGGACCTTTCAGCAGACGACCACATGCTTGCGTCCCTACGTGTTCGACTCCGCGATCTATCTGCCGAATTTCGGTCGCGGTTGAATACACTCCTGGGCGATCTAGCATACCAGCCAGATGTAGACATGCGGTTCCTCGCTGTAGTAATGAATTTCAACGACTTCTACGAACCGGTACGAAGGCGGAGGACTGCGACGGGTTCTCGAGACAAGGAAAGACTCCGCCGCAAAGCCGCAGAAGGTAATGCACAAAAGGAAATGAAGAAAGAGAGAAGAGATCCAAACGGAGCAGAAAGCGCCAGTGGCTCGGGTGCCCATGCACCATAATGTACTTTTCACCTCAATGAATCGTGGGTTCGCATCTTCTAGGGTTGGAACTGTAGAACCGGAGTCAAGGAATAGGGAAGGGCAAAATTTAATGGCATGAATAGATAATGCAAGTGATGATTTTACGGTCATTGATACATATACCTACATAATAGGAAAATCTTTCGTAAATGTGAGAGATTCAAACTGAAAGGTAATACGCACATAAATAAATCCCAACCATGTTCTAAAATGGAGACTCTCTAGTAAAGGGTTGGGTCTATCAGGTTTGATTCCGCAGTGTTGCTAAACTTCCGCAACTCACGTGGAAATTTTTCCCCAAAACTTTCTACAATACAATCAAAACGTTCAGTTCACACAACCCACACCCACCATTTAGGCGCTACCTGCATATTTTCCTCGATCGCTATTTCAGAGTCCATTAATATACGCGACTCGAACTTTTTCTTCGCAGGGATTAGAAAAAGGAGGCCACAATTTGCCGCAATGTCGGGCGAAGAATCTTCCCAGCCGTCGCACGTCCCGGCGTGGAAGAAATTAGGCCTGAAGCTCAAATACGCCAAAGACCCCCTAGAAGAAGAAAAGAAAAATACAGACAAGGGTGAAAAGAGGGAAAAGAAAGAAAAGAAGAAAGATTCAAAGAAGAAGAAGAAGAGTGATGCCGAACCCGAGCCAGAGGATAGGAAGTCGCGCAAGAACAAAAAACGACGACATGACGATGATAACGATGAGCGGGACGAGAAAGAACACCCTGCAACTGAGGAGCAAGAGGATGAGTCCCGCAGAAAGAAGAAGAAGAAGGTTTCTTTCTCGACTGAGGTAGAGGAGAAGGAGGTGCCTGGTCGTGATGCTCAGAGTGATGTCGATATGGATGCCGATGCTGATGCCGAGGATGGAGGGAGGAAGCAGAAGAAGCAGAAGGAGAAAAAGAAGAAGAAGAAGGATCAGTCGACGGCTGGCGATTCAGCGAGTGATGCGTCCCCGAAGATTCATGAAACTCCTATTCTCTCCTACCTGAGTCTTTACTACAAATATCGGTCAGCGTGGAAGTTTCAGAAGAACCGTGAAACACATCTTTTTAAACATGCTCTTTCGTTGGAACAAGTGCCAACCCAATACAACGCTGCTCTACTTGTGTATCTTCAGGGCTTGAAGAGTGAAGGTGCTAAGCAGCGGTTACGTGAGATTGCTGAGGAAGCTGTGAAGGCAGAGATCGAGGAGGGTTCATCCGATAATAAGGAAGAAAGCACCGCGGACGAGTCTGTGGAACATGTGCCGTCTGAGAAGGAGAATTATGACAGCGCTCTTGGCGCTTTCAGGGAGTGTTTGTCCCAAGGCAAACAAGATGAGCTGAATACGACTGGATCTACGGAAAAGCTGGACGACGATGCGTTGAAGAAGCTTGAAATGAGACAGCGAGCGGAGCTCGTCTTGTATGCAGTCAATGGCAGGCTCTTCAACTTCCAGAAGCCAAAGTCTCCTGCACAGAAAGGCAAGGGCGCGAAGAACCAGAACCAAGCAAATAAGAAGAAGAAGAAGAAGAACCGGACTGCTATTGTGGAAATATCAAGCAGCAGTGAAAGTGATAGCGACAGCGACAGCGACGATGATGCTGCAGCTAGCAAAAAGGAGAACGTGAAACCCAGGGATTCGTCTTCTGATTCGAGCAGTGACAGTGATTCTGAAAGCACAAGCTCAAGTGATTCGTCATCGTCATCTTCTTCCTCTTCTTCTTGAATTTTCATCGCGTAGGTTGTTGGGGCCTATTTACTTGTCTTTTCTCCTACGCTTCTGCTCTAGGTGGTTCCCTTGGAGGCCAGGCTCGCACTGTGTCGCATGTTCAAAAAAAGTTCATAAGGATTATATTCGAAAAGTCTTTAGCGAGAAGTTGGATACCTGGTCTAGGCATATGAAGGAGTTCGTCAAACTGATGGCATGATTCACTTGTTGTTAGTTGCCATGCATACCCATTATATACAGGTAGAACAGTATATTCAGAACTTATACTATTCAAAATGTATTTATGAAGGCATAAAATCCAACGAGCCACAATCTTTACCATGTAGGAATAAAACTAACTTAAAAGGATAAATTCATAAATCCGCCAATTGGTATGCGTTGTCCAAAGGCGGTGACAGTGGAGCTTACTCAATAGCTCAGAGCTTTGGCCCTCAGGCACCCTCTGGCACGCGTCCTCTCGAACCTCATCATCCTCCATCGCCATTCCCCCTCTTTGTGCCTTGCGATACCTTCTTTGTCGCTTTCATTCCTGCTGTTCCCGCTTAGTTACTTTTCCGAGTACTATATACACTCATCGCCATCATGTCTGGTAGGGTCCTTGGCTAGATTGATTGGCCTGGTGCCATGACTTCATCGATTACTGACCTTCATTTTGCGAGCAGGAAGCGCATACGACAGACATATTACAATCTTCTCGGACCAAGGTCGTCTGTATCAAGTCGGTGAGTGCCTCCGTTTGAGGGTTACATCGTCAACCCCGAACATGTGGGGACCATCGCCATAAGACAACTGGATAGCTGATCGACCATGTTCCGTGATCAATAGAATATGCCTTTAAAGCCATCACTTCGGCTAACATAACCTCGTTGGGTGTGAGGGGAAAGAACTGCGCCGTGGTGTTGTCTCAGAAGAAAGTTGCTGTAAGCTACATCTCCGTACATAGCCGAGTCCCGACCTTGTCTAATCGATACCTTAGGATAAACTGATCGATCCATCCTCCGTTTCACATATCTTCCGGCTCTCTCCCTCTGTTGGTTGTGTGATGACCGGTTCCATAGCGGATGCTAGGGCTTCCGTTGACCGTGCTCGTGGAGAGGCGGCGGAATTCCGATACAAATACGGTTACGAAATGCCCTGTGATGTTCTTGCGAAGCGACTTGCCAATATCAATCAGGTCTACACACAGAGGGTATGTGTCATCCATCTTGGTCAAAAGGCGGTTATGTGGACTGACTCAAATATTTTCTAGGCTTACATGCGCCCGTTAGGAGTCGCTATGACCCTGATCTCTGTCGACTCAGAGAATGGCCCACAGGTCTACAAATGCGACCCCGCAGGCTACTACGTCGGATACAAGGCCACCGCATCTGGTCCGAAACAGCAGGAGGCGATCACTTACCTGGAAAAGAAGCTGAAGAACAAGGATTACGCCGAGGGCAGTTGGGAGGACGTTGTCGAATTGGGAATCACAGCCTTGAGCAATGTGCTTAGCGTTGATTTCAAGAAGCACGAATTGGAGATTGGAATCGTTGGCGGCCCTCGGACGGATGGTCAAGAGGGCACAGATGTCAATTTCCGGGCTCTGACGGAGGATGAGATTGATGAACGGCTGCAGGCTATTGCCGAAAAGGACTGAATGTCGAACGTATGAACATGCATGTTGCTAGACGCGAATGATATTTAATAGCATAACTCCGACCATGGTTGTTACGATGGGTATCCTTCTCCTGGTGATATAGTCGAAGGACCCTTGCTGCCAGGGCAGACAAACGGTAGACGGACGACAATGATTCGTCTGTACTTCTCCAGGTTTGTTTGTGGCAACGTGCAGATGAAAGTAGTTTTGACATTGACGATGTGATGGGTTCGAGCAGCCTGCAAGCTTCCTGTGTCCCCACGGGATGATGAGACGTGACAATCTGCAAGGAGTGCAGTTATTGGGTGCTATGCAATTGCGAAGCAACGTCGGAGGGAATGAGCGAGGATACCGAAAGTAGAGTGGATAGCTGTCTCGCATGCGTTGGGGGCAATATCTTGACGTAGTCTATTGTGGATCGCAGATATTCGCCACCAGAGCCGAGCAGGTTGGGCAGACGTGACAGTCATGATGATCCTGAGCGAGAGGGATTTCCGCCTGAGGCTGTCAATCCATTGCTTTTTGATGCCCGTCATTCAGGTTTCATTCAGCTGATCTCCCATTTTACTGTGGCCGGGATGTGGCTGAGCTGGGAAGTGTGGCTTTCGTGGAGTTCGTCTCAGTCATATTCCAGGCAAAAGTCTGGTACCTGAAAACTCAATTGACGGAAGTGAGTCAGGGAGTATCCATGATGTTGTGCTTTTCCTCTGACCTCGGATGAAGCCTTGCCTAACCAGTAGATGCCTCCGGACCTGAAACGCATCCCTCGTGCATATCGTGGGACTAAAGTGTGGCGAGAACGCGACCACCAGACATTGGGAAACAAAAGCACAGCTGGTGAATGACTAACTAGTTCGGCATTTAGCGCCATTTTTAGGGAGTTTGGCGACCGAACAATCAGCCCATTGAAGGGTGTTCCACTTGGCGGCCTGCACCCGCCTGCAAGATAGAGTCTACTACTCAGTTTTCCGAGATCCAGCATCCCAGTAAACCACAGTGGGTGCGTTTCCACTGGTGCGGTAAACTGACACATGAGGTGATCCATGCTGGATGTATCATTTTGCTACTGTATTTAGTCTGTGGGGTTTTGACTTTTTTTTTTTCATTATTATTATTGTTATTTTTATACCCTTTTTTTTTTTTTTTTTTTTTTTTTTTTTTTTTTTTTTTTTTTCCCTTTTTTTTTTTTTCCTTTCTTCTGATTTCCCATATTCGAATTATTTTGTTTTCTTGTTTATTATTTTCTTTTTCTGTTAATTCTATTGAATTTGGTTATTGATTTTATTTACCTTTTTTTTCCCTAAAAATAATAATAATAATAATAATAATAATAATAATAATAATAATAAATAAATAAATAAATTCTTTTTACGATGTTCATGCAGGATCCAGTCTTGGACCCTCTTTGACGTACCAGCTGCTTAGCGTTCGCGCTTTTTTGATATCAGCCCTTCCTCGATCAGACTGGAGTCGGTTAGGCACATGGCTTCGGATGGGGCCTCTACCTAGTACCTACTATGTATGGGCTCCACCTCTACTTGTCATTGCCCAGCTGTGGTCCCGAGCTGTGATATCCGTATCCTCTCCTCAGCAGCACTGTCATTTTTTGCAGCCAGCCACTATTCATGATGATCTCCTTGAGGAAAGCTCTTCATCCTTGGCCTACGGGGATGGACAGGAAAGCTATCATCGGTGGCCGTGGAAATCAAGTTTAAAAGGCATATCTCGCCCTCAATGATGGAACACTATTATAGAGCAGCCACTCTTTCACAGAGATTTAGCTTGGTTTCGCCGTCTTAGTATATCAATTGCCCCCTTTATCCACTTTCTCTTCCCTTTGATCTACTTGGGCTTTTGCTCTTCGGTCTCTAGACGTCTTGTTCCCTAGAATCGCTTCTTAGAGAAAGTAGCAATGGCAGACGGACGTAAGCATTCATCTTCGACCCTGAACAGGGATTTACATTAGTTTGCAAAGTTGAATCGATACTAATGAAATATGCATGATTTAGTCAACGATGCACGTGCACTAAGAATGGCTGAGATCTTCAACGACTACCGAACCCTCCTGGTGCACATCTCCCAACAAGACATCCCAGTTCCCGCGGAGGATTACTATGAGCCAGGCTATGCGGTGATCCGGGAGAGTCTGGCTGCTGCGCAAGCCCTAATGTCGTCTAACTATAACCCTGTTCCGCCAACCGGGAGGAATGATTTGGAAATGGAAAAAACAGAATTTCGGAGGTATGCATCTATTCACTCCAGTCCATATATCTTGTTTGTTCACTGACTGACTGACTAACGGCCTACAGAGTCATACTTGATATAAGCTCGCGTCGCTTTCAAGCTCATAAGATTTACCTCCGCGCGGCAGCAGGGAGAAGATGGTCTATTAATCGGACAGATGCCCTGCGAAGGTCCGACCAGACACTTGCTTCTCGATTGAAGCTAGTAGACGACACATTCCGACAGGTCAGTACTTCTCTATGCAATCTGCCACAGAGCTATTTAGACTGACGTTTTTGGGATTGAACAGGAGCTTGGTCAGGTGACAGATGAATACGTTGTGGCTGATCTTCGGGCTGCCGATATACGCGCAGGCCATTGGCTTGATGAGGATCCATCTTTACCGGAAATGCGCAATTGGATTCGAGAACATCCATGAAGCCACACTTCGCGTCAGGGTGATTTGCTGAGAGCAAATCAGAACCACGGCGTTTGATTAAGCGCAGGTCGTTTAATTGCGCCCAGGAAGAGATGCCCCTCTTCTACAAAACTAAAAAAGTTCCCTCCCCCTCCTTTTTAGTGGGACTTGTTTTTATTATGATGTTGTTTGATGGTTATGATATCCCCACAAGTGATTGTTTATGTTAGACGTTTTGAGATTGTCGAACGTCCCTTGTTCTTTTCCACATTTAATTACCTTTTTTTTTTTTTTTTTTTTTTTTTTTTTTTTTT